AGCCCTCTGCACTGGGATGATCCTCTTACACTGCTTTTGGTGGAGCAGCACAAAGTGGTCTTAATGTAGCTGTAAATGGACCTATGACAGAGTTTGGGTGGAGTTTTGCAAGGATGAGAAGATGCTCTGTACTACGGTGCTCTAACTCCCTAAACTTTGACAATCTGTAACTGAACTCTCCTGGATTAAATCCAGGGCTACAAGCAGTGTGCATATTATTTTGATGTCTTGTATAAACCTGTTTGTGTAGGTTTGTTGACTAGAGCACTGACAAGCAGGGAATACTGGAATGCTAGAGGAGCAGCATCTGTGGCTTTCATTTGTAGGTCACCATTCAAAGCTAGCCTTAAAAGTTGCTGTGAGCTGTGTGAACATAGCTTTGTTCTTACTAGTAAGAGTGTCCACCTCACAACATCCATCACCGTAGTTACTATGAGCTTGCTGTCTCAGCAGAGGACATGGATTATAGGTTCATGCAGACTGAGCCAGTCTCTCCCGCACTCTTGTATCCCTCCAGGTCAGGACTGAGGCATGCTAGCATGAATTAACTCACATTGTCAATACCAGTGCTGTCTCTGTTCTGTGGCCAGAGAACTTTAGGCAACTATGCTGTTAATTTCTCAGTTAAAAAAATCTAACAAGGACCAGTGGAAAGTTCACTTTAGGTTCTGTATGAGGTAAGTGGCCTCATATCAAATTATGACCCATCTTTAGGAAAAGCAAGACTGATTTGTCATATTGGGTCAGCTTTTGAAAGTGGCCTCTACTTTTGGGCACATAGGCAGAGGTGCTGGAACAATTTTTAAAGTAGGGGTGCTGAGAGCCATTGAACCAAACTGTAAATCCTGCATATAATGGAAACCACTTCAAACCAGGGGGTGTGGCAGCACCCCCAGCACCCCTAGTTCCAGCATCTATGCACATAGGCATTTAAAGCTCCTAACTTTCATTAATTCCAGTGCAAGTTAGGAGCCTAAATACTTTTGAGGATCTGGACCTTATTACTTCTGGTATTCAACTTTGGGTCCACAATAGCATTCAAAGGCACCTACATTAGGAAGTTATGTATTGGGTGACCTGGATGCAGCACTTCTCAATGTGTGAGTAAATCCTGTTTGGGGTACCTAGATTCCTATGCTGCTTTTGAAAACTTGATCCATCGTAAATCCCTAAAGACTAGTACACAACTCCTATCGTCTCCTTTATAAGAGCTGATTACTATCAGCTCTATCTTGTGATCTAGTTAAGTATTAAAGTAAGATTATGCTAATCTAAGTAAGCCTGTGCACACCTACTAATGTAAACGATTTGTGAGTTGTAAAATAATTATACCATAAGCTGTAATTTTGATGTCAAACTGGCTGGTGAAAAGACTAACAGACAGGTTGGGTAGCAGAAAACTACAATTCTTAACTGATGAACATATATGAAGTAAAAAAACAAAAAAAAACCTTTCAATTGCACTGGAATAATTCTATACTAGCCAATGTATTTACAGAGGGATTACTAAGAACAGAATTTGGCCCTCACAAAAGCCACCAGCAATACTGAGTGACCTGCATTTAGCATGGGCGCCAGGTTTGTATAATTTTTGGTGGTGCTCAGAACGAGTCCAAACAGAGCCATCCCATGCATAGGACGGACCGGGACAATTGCCCCGGGCCCCGTGCTTTGGGGGGCCCCGCGCTTCAGGGGGACGTGGAGTCCAGGGCAGCCTGGGGGATTAGCGGGGGCCTGGTGCCAGCAGCAGTGAGCGACCCAGCCCCAGCCCGCTCCGCCGGCTCCTCGCGTCGCTCGGGGGAGGGGGTGGAAGCTGGAAAGAGGCAGGGTGGGGGCTTTGGGAAAGGGGTGGAATGGGGACAGGGAAGGGGCAGAGCAGGGGCGGGCTGGGTCTGGGTCACTCACTGCTGCCGGTCCCAGGCCCCCTGCTAACCCCCCAGGCTCCCCTGGACCCTGTGTCCCCCTCAAGCGCAGGGCCCCCCAAAGCGCAGTAAGCCCAAACATTGGTGGAGCCAGGCCCAGATTCCTAAACATTGGTGGAGCACGGGCACCACGGACCCATATAATTCACCGCCTATGGCCCTTAGTAGACAAAATGATCTACCTTCATTCTAGGTTCTGAATGCATTCCACATTTTAAAACCAATCCTTCCATACTTGAAGCAGAGGGGAGCCTTACTTGAGCAAAAATAGCAGGACCAGGCCTTGCGTTGCTTGTTTTTTCCCCTAAAGTCACTAATAGAGCAGTAGTAGATAGAACTGCAATAGGTTGCTCCATGATCATTTTAGAGCTGCACCATACATCTCCGCATGTGAAGATGTTCGACTCTATCCATTCAGGCAAGCCTGGATGCACTGCAGAAAAGCTACAGCCCAGGCCTGCTTCCTCAGCAGTGCTTTGAGCTGTGGAATCCAAGCACCCCCTTTGGAAATGTTCCTTCTCACTCAGATTTAGGGCTCCCTGGAATAAGGCTGCCCAAGAAGCTGAAGCGTGTCTTGAGTTTTATCTGTTGTCCACTAATGATAGCCGGGAGCACTTTTCCATCAAAGATTGCAGCTTGGACCCAAATGTAGGTCTGAGGCCAAAGTTCTAACTCATTTAAGCTAAGGATTTCAGTCTTCTGTGTAAGGCTGGCAAACCAGGTGCTGGAAGCCAGTCTGTTTCACTTGCATGTTAGTATGCTCAAAATGGGTATTGATCTCATAACAATGTGAAATGCTTGTAAATTACTGCATAAAATAATCTCACATATCTTGATCACACACTGTAAGGCAATATTTAAGTTTTTGCTTTATAACTTAAAAAAAAACGTTTGCCCTGAAACTGTCAGCCTGTCAGAAGGGATCTTCTCCTGCTCATCAAGGTGGCTATCAAAACTAAATGGGCCATTAGGAGACATCACAATGCAAATGCTTTGTCAATTGCCCCTTCATACCGACAAAGAGGTTACATGCAAGAGGGCTCTTCCCAGCAGCTTGAACTCTGGAAGAAGGAAATAAAGATAGGGAACAAGAGAATTTTCATCTCTCTGGCTGTTTGGATTCTCACAGGGTTGGAGCTATGAAACAGAAGCAGAGAACCCCAGGGCCAACCTTGGTTATCCCTAAAAGTCATACAGTGCTGAGAGATTACTACAACAGTCACCTTTTAAAACCATAGACTGTAAAATCAGTGTAGATGTTTGCTTGCTTTAATCTTGTAATAACTCATTTCTTTTCTTAGTTAATTAATCCTTAGTCAGTTTGCTACAGGTGTTGACTTTGGGGTGAGATCTGAGATACAAATTGACATAGGGTAACTGACTGGTCTCTTGGGACTGGAAGCAACCTGCATCTTTTGTGATCTTTGGTGAATAGCAACCAGCTATCACTAAGTCCAGCTTTCAGAGTAGCAGCCGTGTTAGTCTGTATCCGCAAAAAGAACAGGAGTACTTGTGGCACCTTAGAGACTAACAAAGTCCAGCTTGTCTGGGTGGCGAGATAAACTGTAGTGCCCAAGGGGACTGTCTGAGACTCCATGGTAACACTGTTATAGTGCTTCAGGAGTTCACACTTTTTTTTTTTTTTTTTTTAATTAATGGAGATATCCTATCTCCTAGTACTGGAAGGGACCTTAAAAGGTCATTGAGTCCAGCCCCCTGCCTTCACTAGCAGGACCAAGTACTGATTTTGCCCTAGATCTCTAAGTGGCCCCCTCAAGAATTGAACTCACAACCCTGGGTTTAGCAGGCCAATGCTCAAACCACTGAGCTATCTCTCTTGTTATTGGGTTGGTGAAATCTAATTATAGGACACACCACCAGTTTCAGGTTCTCTGCCCTGCTTCTTCACAATCTGCCCTGAGCTTGGGGTGACACTCTTCACTTAGAAAGGAAGGAGAGGAGGGGGCAAAAAAAGCAAAAAACCCACAATGCTTTGTGTTTACAACAGGAGGATAAAGACAGTTTATGAAAGGAAACTTACCAAAAAAAAAAAAAAATCAAGACACAGTAAGAATCCATTACTTATTCACAGAGGTTAACAAAATTTTATTTTGATACAAAAATTAAATAGCAAAGTTTTTTGTACAGTGATAAATTAGAAATTTACAGTACATACATCAATGCAGATATACTTTCTGTACATCTAAAAAATTATCAGTGTCCATTCCCTTCGACAAGTTAGTTTCTCTTTCTGAAGCTCTATCATAAGTAGTTTAGCTTGTACCTGTCTGTCAGACATTTCAGAAGCCTGTATGTCAGCACAAAACACCAACTGGGGGTGGGACTGGCTTGAGAGAGAAAGGAGGAGACGGGATTGTGCAGAAAAAGTAACTGCTGTAAAGTTTTGAGCTCTATAGCCACAGCAACTGCACTTTCAAGGCAGGATTAGTCACACATTTTTTGGTTTTAAATTCATAACTATGTTGAAATGAGAGAAACTGAGTTGCAGATATTCAGTCTTCATAACTGCCGTGCTTCAGACTTGATCTAGTGGTTCCCAAACTTTAACAACCTGTGAACCCCTTTCACGAGACTTGACATTTTAGTGAACCCTCCTAAAAATGAATATTTCCAGGGATTTTCTCCTTTACCTGAGATATAAAAGCGGTGATCTTGGAAATATAAAATTTGTTTTTATGACATGCTTATTACACACTATTTATTATTAATTATTTATCATTACAGTATTTTTATTACATTATGAAAATGGCAACACTCTTCCAAGATCTCACTTTCATAGCTTGTATCCCTTTGAATAAGCCTGTTATAAGACAAGGCTCCTATGTTTCATCAAGGAGTATCAGATGTGAAACAGCATAAAGGTATTTAAGAAGCCAACTCAAAGAGTTCCTCCTACACAAGCATTCGGGTCTTGAGCCGTCCGGGCAAACAACGCACGTTACAACAAAGCTTAAACTTGTTCTTCATAATAATTTTAAAAACAATACAAGCTGCCTATTTAATTTTAAAAACAGCAAAAGATATCCACCTCCCTTTCCATTTCTTATAAGGAGTCTTGAAGTTTAAATCGCCGCAGTGTGATAGATATGCTTGCTTTGATCTGTTTAGCTCTTGGAAGTCCAGGGGCTCCGGACTGCTGGATCCGTGCTGTCCTGGGTTCCCAGGGACAGCTCTGTCCACCATTAGGGAATTTTTTCCCCCAAGAACCCCCTGTAACATTTCGCAACCCCCCGGGGGTTCATGAACCCCAGTTTGGGAACCACTGATCTAGAGTGGCTTTTCCAATCACAAATGCCTGAACAACTAGAACAGCAAGGTAAATGCACATAGTTAAGTTGTGCCTTTTCAGAGGGGCTTCTGTGGCCCTGGGTCAGATGCTCTGCTTCATTACCTTGAGGTAAATCAGGAATAAATTCACTGAGCTCTGGTACATAACTGCAAGAGAATTTAGGCAGGCACAATGCCTCCAAGGGACAACTGCCGCTATGTGACTGCTATCCCCATAGTATTTGAGTGCCTCACAACTTTAATGGATTTATCATCCCCTCACCCTGCAATGCAAGGAAACATCATCCTCATCTGACTCACTTTCAGATGTCTCTAATCACCAGTGCTACCATTCTAGTAAAAGATCCACTGAGTCATGCTCTGAAATTCAATAACAACAGGAACGGTCACCCCCTTAACAATACATTCTGGGATAACAAGGATAAAAATGCATAGGTCAATCACATCGAATAGCATGAAGTTCAGTGTGTTTGAATCACCTAGGGTCATTAACCCATGACTTCACTGGAGGGATGCCTGGATTAATTTGGCCCACTCACTCTCTCTCCTTCATCCCTCAGAATTTGAAAGTAGCATCTGATTTGGCATCCTTAATCCAACCGTAAATACATCAAGCACTGTGGTGAAGCCCAGCCATCCACACCTTTCATTCTTGCAGAACTCTGTTTCCAGACCAGAATACATAGATCCAACAGGCATTACTGTCCAATAGAAGAGACTTGATAGAGGAATGGATTTGGAACACTCAGCTAGTACATAATGGTGTGCTGTGGGTAGAATGAGTCAAGTTGTCACTTGCTCTGCTAGTGACTGATCCCAACTGCGCAGGCTGAGATGAGGTTGTTTTGTTTTTAAGCACATATTTCAGCACAGACACAATGCGTGTCTTTAACACAGTTTGAGAGATAGAAGGGGGACCCCTTTCAGGCCTGCCTCATCCTACAAAAGACCACAATACCCTCAGCTACCACTTAAGTCCACGGGAATTGAAGGCACTCAGCACCTCACTAGATCAGGCCCCCATACACTGGAGATGAAGCAAGATTTTAGGGCACACAGGTGAAGCTACTGGTGGGTCCTTCAAGGGGAGCACTTAAATGCTGCTCTTTATGTTTACATTATACTTCCTGTTAATCAAGCAGGACTGTGGCATTCATAGTCTCATGCTCCCTATGAACGCGACAGGCCAAGGGCAAGGAACCTTGCCACTAACTATGAAACAATTACTCACCAAGAAGAAGTTGGATTTCTTCTCCATGGAGCCCTTTTCAAAAAGGAAAATGTCTCCATTGTTGCTGAAGTCTGATAACATTCTTACATACAATTTTTTTTTTTAAGTCACTCTCAGTGACCATCAGTTTGAGCCAGTCAGCTGTACTGCTATGTCATGGCTGGAGAATGTTCTTTTATTTTTAATTGACACACACAATTATACAACTGATCTGTGTGAACATGAAGTTGCCAAGGAACTTAACATTTCACTTCTCCCAGACTGGCGTCTGCATAGATGTAATCACACAGAGTGAAATATATTAAGTCTTAATTGCTTAATGCAATAGGTCTCCAAGGAGAGCCAGATAAGTTTACTTGAAGAAAAACTACATGTTCTGCTGAATAAAGAGTTTGTCCAAAGTGAGCCTTCATTCACTTTCCCTCAGCTGTATATTGCAGTAGGAAGGAGAGCTATTAAAAGAAAAAACCTAAGTTATTAATGCAGAGGAATAAAGTAGTCAGAGTCTGGAAATAGTCAGGTTATCAAAAAAGGACAAAAGGGGGCAGGGAAAAGGGGGAGGGGGTGGAAGGGAGATAAATGGCAACTATATATGCTGTTATGCTTCAGACTCCAAGTTAATCTACTTCTGATAAAGGTACAGAGTGAAGCTTCTAAACACCTCAAATGAAGTACTGATGTTTTAGACAGCAAAGAGTGTGCCGATATAGAGGTTAGTATTAGGTTGTCAGCTGAGGTATACAGCAATCCATCCTAACACCTAACTGAATCCTACAAATTCACTGTTTGAGTTGTTTTCATACCTGGAAAACTTAGCTGGCATTTGCATGAGGACCTAATCCTTGGCTGAATTATGCACCACGCAACACCGATGAAGGCAACAGGCTGTACTGGCTATGGGTCCAATCCTAAAAGGTGCTGACCACATCCCTTAACACACTGAATTCAAAGGGAGTGATGCTGTCAATTGAAGCTGAGAGCACCCAGCCCCTCATAGGATTGGACCCTAAATCAGCCCAGAACTTGACCCTCCTCCTCTATGCACTATAACATGATTCAGGAAAATCAGCAATGCAAGTAACAAGATGCAAGACCATGTGGCTTCTAATGACATTAATACATTGCAACCTGCTTTACAAAAATGTGACATGTTCAGATTTTTCACAGTGTTCCAAGCCGCCCTGGGCTTTCGTACTTTGGGCAGCATGGTTTATGGTTATTCGGTTTTTGAAATTTCTGCTTATTCTTTAAGGCTTCTTTTCAGAGACAGATTTTTTACTTTACCTCCCTACACCTCCCCAACAACATTTCTACTGCAAGTGTTTATACACAAGTCCTTCTTGGGAGAGAAGTCAGCACAGAGGTTTTGTTTACACCACAGTCTCATTCCCTTTCCCAGGTTTCACCCAACCATCCGCTCTCTTCTCTCGTTTTACTTTCCCTGAGTTCACCAGTCTGTTAGAGCACTTCTGCCACGTGTGAAGAGTCTTGGCCGACCAAATCCACATGCCAGATGTGATACCCACCAGCAGAGACATGAAAATTTTAAGCATCTCCACTGCCATATTGGAATCATCCGCAGAATAGCGGAAGATAGCCCAGTTGGAGATTTCATAGAAGTAACATGCAATTACACATGTAGCTGGGACAGTGTATAGCACTGAAAAGACACCAATTTTGACCATCAGTCTTTCCAGCTTGTCAGTTTTAGTCCCATCTTTTTGAAGATTAGACCTGATTTTAAATAAGGCCACTAAGCCTGCTGCTATGAATAAAGTTCCAATAACCAAGTAGGTGAAAAGCGGAGCAACGACAAAGCCAGTGAGTGCATCTAGGTTCTGGTTGCCGACATAACACAGACCAGTGAGCTCATCTGCATCTACTAGTCTCATAATCAAGATGACTATGGTCTTCACTGCAGGGATAGCCCAGGCTGCAATATGGAAATAGGAGCTGTGCATTTCTATAGCCTCATGGCCCCATTTGAGTCCTGCTGCTAGAAACCATGTTAATGTCAGAATCACCCACCAGATGGAGCTAGCCATCCCAAAAAAATACATCAGTAAGAAAATTATAGCACATCCTGTGTTCTTAAGACCTTCTTGGATAAGAACAGGTTCTGCTGCCTCTTCAAAATCACAGGATATCCTTTCCCGGCCTACAGTCAGCCTCACGATATAAGCAATGCTATAAATATTGTAGCACATGCTCAGAAATATGATGGGGCGCTCAGGGTAGGAAAATCTGGATGAATCAATCAGGAAGGTCAGGACTGTGAAGGCTGTTGATATGAAGCACAGACTAGCCCACACGGCCATCCAGATATCAGTGAATTCCTTAGCTGATCTGCTATAGAGACCAGCATCATAGCCACACTTAAGGACACAGCTCAGGCTTCTTTTTACCCAGATATACTGCTCTGAATTAGATCCCATTGTGTGACACTCTTCTCCTGGCTGCAAGGATGTCTTGCTGTGAAGGGGAACATCTTCATCCCCTGGACCCTCCATACACATGTGATTGTGGTCATTCTGGGGTGGAAATTTACTGCAGTTTAGACTGTCTGGCCAGGCAAATCCAAATTCTTTCAGAACAGGTTCACATCTTCTTTTGACGGAAAGGCACATGCCACCGCAGGGACCTATTGGGATGTTAATCTTCTCTGTGCACATTGGAACATAGACTGAACAAAGGAAGAACTGGAAGAGAAAAACAATAATCAAACTTGTGCTTAAAAGAAGATAAAAATGGTAGACTATATAGCAAGTTCCCTTTCTATCCTCTTTAACAGTACTGTTCAGTACTTTGCCTAAGTAAGCAAGGAGCAGCATGTAGTAAAGAAACCAAGGGAAAAAATCCTAAAAACCTCAGCCCTTGTTCTCAGTTCAAAAAAGTGTTTTGAGGCCAAATCCTGATCACTTTACTCACTAGAATTAGCCTTATTGAAGTCAATGGGCCAGATTCACACAAGGTGAACAGAACTTAGCCCTAGATCTAAGCCTCAAATTTACAATTTAAGGGGGCAAAACACAAACTGAATAAGTACCGTAATTTAAACTTTAACAAATATATAGACCTTAGTTTTCGAGACTGCACAGAGATATTTAAAACTTGAAACAAAACAGTTACAATATTAACAGCTCTTTGAATTAACAATATTCACGGTTGAATATGGTCTTTGTATAAATCATATTTTTTCTTATAATGAAGTTAGGATACTGTAATTTTCTCAGTACTTGACTCTTATAATTCTAGTACACACAAAGCAAATAGATGTGTATAAAACTTAGCATTTAAAAAAAATGCCAAGCAATTATTAGTTTGGATACAACTATCTGAAGAAGTAAGTTTGTTATTCAACAACATCTAAGTCATGCAACTCCTACAGTGAAGTTACTGGAGGGGGTTCTCTTACCACAATTTTATGCTATGTCCCTTTGTTTTTTTATGACAAGTCACACACACACACATTCACCTCCTCTGTCCATTATGTCTGGATGCACAAGGTTCACCAGCTCCTTACACATAACAACTGTGTCATTTATGGTTAGAAGTGAAGGGCTTTATGTGCAAGCATCTGAACTGGAAAGTCATGTCCTTGAAGCTGTCTATCTGTTTAGTATACTCTGTACTTTCATGATGTTCAAGGATAAATATTTTTCTTTAAGAAGTCAGTGAGAAAGTTCACATGCCTTGATCTGTAAAAGTCATTTTTTTAATATTAGGCTAAATGACATTTTCAAACCCATAAAGAGAGATCAGCCAATTTATTAACCCTGATTTAGAGTGTTCTCTTTAGTCTTCACACTAGTCCAAATTCCTGGGCTACCAAAGGGAACACAGACAAGTACAGCATGCCAAACGACAGAAGAGTTTGGCTTCTTCTCCTAGCTTCTGACTTTGTGTGGAGGTTACTCCAGAAAGAGGACTGGGAACGGGGCTCCTTGTGTATTTTACTTCAGTCTCTCAGCAACTGTAAACCCTGTGAGATTAAATGCTATTGTAACTTTATTGTACCTTCTTTTCTGTAGATTCACACCCAGAGGGGAAAGCTAATCTTGAGCCACTTTGCAGCTGGAAGTTTCCAAATGTATCTTTGTTTAACCCATTTAATAGTTTCTTTTAAAACTTTTGTTTACACCAGCAGATATTTTCACGCTATTCTATCCTAGAAACTTGGTCTGAGAAATAACCTGAAACCCGCCCACGACTTCTTCCCAAATCGGCAGCAGGCAGCCGAGAAACTAGGTTGAAGTAGATTTACAAAACAAAGGCAAGCAATGCAACAGATTGAAACTTGGAGTCAGTGGGAAGTTCGCAGAACAAATGCAAGAAGTAAAACGGGAGGGATTCGGGATAGTCCCTGCTGCTGGAAGCGAAACTGCCTCTGTCCACCCTAGAAACCATTAGTTTTTAGCGCCTTAGGAGGAGATTAGGTTGGGAAATAAATTGGGGTGGGGGGAATTTACAACATTTCGGGGGTGCAGCTGGCACCGTAACTGCAGCACTTTCCCTGCAATCTGCCCCTCTTTCCGGTCGGGTTTGCTCCACGGGAGGGATCCTCCGGCCGCTGCAGAGATCCTTGGCGCGAGCGCCGCTGCTGAATGTCACGCGTGCCGGGCTTGCCAAGGCGGGGGAACCGGGGGAGAGACACCGGGGCTCGGCGGCGGCTGGCACTCCCAGGAGCCCCCCGCACACCCTGGGGCGCGGGCCTGGCGTTCGGGGAGGGGCACCCACCTGGAGCTGGCTGGAGCAGCCGTACTGGATGAGCGGGGTGAAGGTGGTGAGCTGGAGCTCCGCGTCCGCCTGCAGCTCGTGCCCCACCAGGTTGGGCATCTTGGTGACGTTGTAGCCCAGGTTCTGGCACATGGCGATGCGGATGGCATCGCAGCGCCGCTCCTCGTCCTCCCCGAAGCCGCGCGCCGCGCCGGGCAGCAGCAGCAGCAGCAGTAGCCCCGGCAGGAGGCGGCAGCGGCCCCGCAGCCCCATGGCCCGGGCCCAGCCCCACGCTGCCCGCCCACCCTGCACCGCCCGGGCGCTGCCCCCGGCCAGACGGGCTCGGCGCGGCCGCTCTGCGGACACGGCCCGGCCGGACAGCGCGGGGGCGGGGCGCCCGGCGGTTAAAGGGCCCGGCGGAGACACTGCCCAGGGGAGGGACCGCGCCGCCCCGCCTCCGCCCACGGAGCGACCCACGGACGGCGGGCGGAGCAGCGGCCCCGACTGCCCTCCCTGAGTCCGGGGAGCCCTCGGCCCGGGGCAGTGTCCCTCCGGGGGGCCCTCCCGCCGCACCCCCGGGCAATGCCCCCCGATCCCTCCCGGGA